TCATAAGTAAATACAAGGAACTAAAACAAAACATAATACACAAGTTTGAAGTTGAAATTTTAGTTTTTTTATGCGTAAAAAAGCATTTAATTTACAAATTACGGGCAAATGAAAAATCATCATGCATTTTTTTGCTTCCAGTCAAATAAAAATGTGATAAAACAAATTCTGCTGGATAGTAAATATTTATTGTAATTAGATAACTCTGTTTATTGATTAAACTAAAAGGTAAAAGTTATTCCTAGTAAATTTTTCGAAGTGGAAATAGTTCTTATAGTAGTAGTAGTTTCCATGTTATACCCAATTATGATTATTTGCATGTTTAGTTTATGGGACATGCATTTCAATGATAGAATATTTGACGCATAGTTTGAAATCTGTTTGGAAAATAATGTACTAAATAACAATTATTTTTTTTGCAAAACTGAAAAAGTATTGTTTTTTAATTTTAGATTAAAAGGATTAGAAAAAACTTTTATCATAATATTGAAATGCATTCCGATATAAAAAAGTAGGCAGTTATGTTGTATATAGTAAAAAAGTCTAGTGCTTGGCCAAAGAATACCTGTCCTTATAGAATATACTATCCTTGTTTGCCATGATCTAGTGTATCTACTTTTAAGTCTAGTGTATAGGGTAGTAATTACTTCTCTTTATTATGACACAACTAAAAACATGCGTACATTTTGTAGCTGCGAACTTTGGTGCATTACACCTGGAATGAACCTTTAATAAATCATGAAACTTGTATAATGGAAAAATCATAAAAATTAAGTAGAATATCATTAAAATTATCGAAACTAAATACAATGTGGGAAAATGAAACAATAACAACTTAGCACAACAAAGAAATTTTCAAAATCTTACCGGACATTTACTTTTATTTCTTTAATTGATTATCAGAGCATGATTTATACATAACATTGCGATTTTTTTCATTGAATTATAAATGAGTAATTGACCTTTAAATGGCCACATTGCCAAACATAAAATATTACTCATCTACCAACATAGCGAATAAAATATAAACTGAAAAAGGGAAGAAGAAGAAAAAATAATAAAACAAAATCTTTCTTTATTATTAAGCTCAAGTGGCGCCATCTGTAAAGAAAAAAAGTCAAAACAACACCAAAAGTGGTGTAGTGAAACACCAGAGATATTTCTTGGTGAAATCTAACATGAAAGAATGTTTTTGATATCTTGCATTATGCCCACCAGGTGGCCGAGTGGTTAGCGTGCCTGACTGCGGAGCCGATGGTTGCGGGTTCGAATGCCGGTCGGGGCATGGATGTTTCTTTCTCTCTCATTGTCCTCTCTATGTCCTTTCTTCTGTGTGATTGTGTGTGAATGTAACCCGCCCTATAAACGGGTTTGTGGTTGTATGACGTGGGCGACGCTACTCCACCGCCGTGGCTTAGCCATAGGTGCTCACTGGGTAACGATAAGAGAGTAGCAATTCTGAGGCCAATGGGAAATAGACCCAAGTGCCCGCCATCAACAAAAAAATATATCCTGCAATACCGAGAATATTCCTTTACATATTCTTGTTGGAAAGTATTCAGTTACGTTGAAATTTATAACAATGAACAGACGTACTACACAAAAAAATTCAGTAAATTTATTTTACAATGCAATTAAAAATAGAAACTTGATGATATAAAACATTATTTGCTTCAAAAAAAACCTATTAAGATAGTAATAAAAGTCTACATGTTTGGAACGCTCAAAGAAAAGCGCTCATTCTCTAGATTCGCCAGACGAGAATAAAAAAAAAAAAAAAAAAAACGAGATTTGAAACAGAAAACGTAAAGTTTGCCAACGAAAAATGGAAAAAAAGCCGAGAGTGAAACAGAAAAGAAAAAAAAATAAGTAAACGAGAAAAAGTAAAACAAGAAAAACTGCAGTGGCCGACAAAGGCAAATTAGGGCAAAATGCATTTCCACGAGCTAAGAAGATGCGGTAAGAAACTCGTGTTGTTAAGGAGTGACTTTAAGCACTGAAATTTATAATTGTGTTAGTAGTTAGTAGTGTGTATAAATTATAAGTTATAATAGTTAGTAGTGTGTAATAAATAGTTAGTAGAGTGTATAAATTGCATGAAGTTGAACCTTTTTAATCAAATGAAATTTAAGCCTACGAAATTCGATACAATTAAATAAATTTAACTGTATAAGATTAAAAGTTTCACAGATGTGGTCATATGTTGCATCCATAACTTCTTTTTACAAAGACTACCACAAAGCTAGACTAAAATGCACAAGAGCCCAATCAGTAAGCGAGGTGAGCTCAAATTGCGAAAACAGTTCAGGAGTTTAAAAAACTGAAGTTTTTTCTCCTCCCTTTTTTTTAATGTGCGTTATTGATTCTAGATATAAAATTACAATTTCAAGAAAGTGGTTATACTTATGATAGCTTGATTGAAAAACTTATTGGGATAATATTTTTTAAATTGCCCTCAAAAAATCCAGTTCGTTGAAAAAAAATGAGTACACTTGTTCAGGGCATAGTGTGTTCTTGCTTGGGCATAGTGTGTTCTTGCTTACAGGGCATAGTGTGTTCTTGCTTACAATAAGTCGATTTCAAATATGTCCTCCAAATCATTCCAATTGTATTGTAAGGAATATAACAATCATTAGATCAAAAACTTCTCGGTAACTTTTTAAGCTCTTCCGTCTATTAAAGTACGGCCTCCAAAGCATTTTTTACATTCTTTTCACGGAAGCTGCCACCATTCCAATGAGAAATCGACGAAAATTAGTCTCAATAAATGGTAGCTCATCAATTAACGACTTTATGAAATATCACCTTGGAATTGTACCTGCGACTTACTAGAACTGTTTTTTTTTTTTTTTATCCGTTCTCATATTTCACTCTCCCAACTAGGATATCCATCATATGACGACTAGAGGAAATAAAAAGGATTTCAACATAACTCTTCATCTATCTTAGGCTTATGTGTGACTGAACTCTCATTTTCGCCGATCGTTTTACATTTTGTAACTTAACGAGGCACAAAATTCTTCTCACATCAGGTGGCAACAGTCTGGATATAATCTTCCGTGTTCGACAAATTCGATGGAATCTTTTTTTTTTTTTACTAACGAGCATGATATTTATTTATTTCGTGTTTGATTCGTCTACGAACTGTGAATCACCTCATTACAAAATGTCGCAAAAATAAATTTTCTTTTAAAAAAAAAAAAAAAAATACATTCTTTTTTTCGAAACTCCAGAATAAGGAACCGCGTTTTTGCGAAAGGGCGGATTAAGAAACGCTAATTAAAATTAAAAATAAAGGAAACAGATTTAAAAAATAAACTTTAAAATTTTTTTGAAGTAAAACTTTTTATGTGACTTCCAACAAGGTTGCGTTAAACGTTTAACGATACATTTTTATTAGCCGGGAAATCACGTGGTAGGATCCAGTTTTCCCTCATTCATTTCCATTTTGTTTTGGTTCTCATTAACATAAAAATAATAATAGTCATAAAAGTATTGTTTTTCTATAAATATTTTTTTAGTTTGATTTGATACACATATAATTTAAAAGGGTAGTATTTTTTATTTTCGAACTTGGTGGATAACAATTGTAAAAAATGAGTGAAAACAATCCCACGGACAATGCGACGGATTTAAGGTTATGTCAAGGTACGTCTCTTGTGAATATCAATTGATTGTTAGGCTTTCTCTTTTCTAATTGCCATTTATATTTCACCAAATGCAGCAATGAGGGACATTAAATTATTTATTGCAAAATCTTTATTGCCACTATCCACTGCAGGTTCACAAGCTCTGGCAGACGCTGCTGGTGAAGAAATTGATTATTGTGAGCGGCCTGTGATCCTTGCAGGAGATTTTAATGTGAATATCTCGTTACCTGAAGCTGAAACATTATTAACCTTCTTTAAAGCAAATTTGGATTGGAAATGATAAATGGTAGGAATGATCCAACAACCAAAGGGGTAACTACCATTGATGCAGTTTTTGCAAGAAATATTGAAAAAATAGAATTCAAACATTTCGTATGTTACTTTAGTTATCATAAACCCATTGTAAATGTTATAGACTTGGATATTTCTCCACTCGAAAATGATAATTAAAAGATGCGATCAATTGTGAATTGTAAGTATTGTTAATAAAGTTTGTCTTAAAGAAACAATATGATTTCACCAAAAATCAATTTCTACCCCTTCCTATTTTCATTTCCACATTACGAAGTTTCACTTCTTCCGCGCGGAGGGACCCCACGCACTATTTTTATTTATTTAAGTTGCTATTCGAAAATAATTTCTTTGCTATTTAATTATTTTATCATAAAAATTATAATTACGACCTAAACACAGCACAACTTCTTATTTTAATATTTCATAATTTTTTGCAAACTCTTGTATGAAACAATAGTGTTCGATTCTAGATTTTGATAGTTGTAAATTTCATTGTAATTAATTTAATATATACATTTAAAACTTTTTGGTCAATCTTTATTTAAATTTATGTTTGATTTTATAATAACTTTGGAAGCAAAATATTAAGTTAAATATTAAATGTGTGGGAGATGTATTTTGAAATAATAAATTTCATTAGGATTCTTTTGATCCATAATTCACTAGTTGGTGGTATACGTGGTAGAATAATAGTTTTGCTCAGACTTTTTTTATGTAAATATTAAAATAAATCGTTCTTTCTTTTTTTTTAAATTTTTTCTAGACTTTAACAATATCTCTACTTATTTTAATAAAAATGATCGAAGTAAAATTTCATTGGGTAAGATGTAATAATGCAAACATGTTTTTTTTTTCCAAGCAAATAAAATGTACGACCAAAACTGCAATGTAATAATATATTTATTTTATTGAAACAACTTTTTCTTGTAATATAAAGTAACAAGTTTTTAAAAAATATGTTTTAAGAAACAATTTTTATTTTTTAATTATTTTTTCATGAACAACATAATACGCTTCAAACTTTATGAGATGTGTACAGGTGTTAAATTTTTACAGCATTCAGCATCATTTACACCGAAGAAAATGTACGAAAGTAGACCTTCATACCCTTCCCCATATTCATCATCATCATCATTGAGGAGTCAGGAGGAGATGGGGGCATGGAGCAGGGCATCCCCTGTCACCAAGATGGAGTACTACAAGATGGCACTCAAGAGCACATCGGCTACTAAGAGTGTCGTCGCCATAGACCCTCAGATTCCACAAGGTACTAAGCACTTTTTTTTATTTATATAATAAAATAAATTTATTCAAAATATATATATAAGTTTATTCAGTATATANGTTTTTAATTATCTATATATATACTGAATAAACTGACAAATGTATTTTTAAAAAATGAGTACTGAATTAGCCTCATCGTTTTGAAATGGTTTATAATTAAAGACGAGACTTTCGAGTGCTTTTTATGTGGCCAGATTTAGGGGTTAACACTGAGATTGTTAACTAAAGATAGACAAAATTGAATATAACTGTCCCGAATAACTGTTAGAAATTCAGAACAATAATTGTTTCGTTATCCAATCATTATTTTATAACCGTCGTTGAAAAGCCGACCCAATTTTTATGGGTTTACGACTACTAATGTTCAACTCAGTAGCCTTGTCATTTTGAACCCAATCCTGAAGACAAGGGAACTCCTGCATCAAATATTGGGAGAAATTTGCCTTCAAGGAGGGCTTTTCGATGGAGCTAACCCGCATTTGCGTTACATGGTGAGGAAGACCATGAAAACCTGCCATGGTTAGCCTGAAGGGGAGGGGACTCAAACAACCCATGATCCGTCTACCACTGTGGATATTTCAAGTCAGTACTGTGGTCGGTGCAAGCCGGATGCGGGATTCGTATCGACTGGGATTCGAACCCGGTTCACCTGATTGGAAGGCGAACGCTCTATCCCCTGAGCCATCGCGGCTTCAATTATTATTTGTTTCAATTCAATTGCCGTTATTCAATTAATGCTGTTTCAATTGAATTTGGAAAGAGCTGTGATGGCTCAGGGGATAGAGCTCTCGCCTTCCAAGCAGGTGAACCGGGTTCGAATCCCAGTCGATACGAGTCCCTCATCCGGCTTGCACCGACCACAGTGTTGACGTGAAATATCGTGGTAGAAGGATCGTGGGTTAGAGTCCCCTTGCCGTTAGGCTAACCGTGTTAGATTTTCATGGTTTCCTTCTCCATGCAACGCAAATGCGGGTTAGCTCCATCAAAAAGTCCACCACGAATGCAAATTTCCTCCAATACTTTATCCAGGAGTTTCCTTGTCTTCTGGATCGGAATCAAAATGACAAGGCTACGGAGTTGAACATTAGTTGTCGTAAACCCGAAAAATTGGGCCGCTGTTCAGCGACGGTTATAAAATAAAATAAAATCGAAATTGGAAGGCATAGACTTTTAAGAGATAGTATTAGAATGAATTTAAAAATATTGACAAAGGTTAATCACTTTGAGTGATGTTTTTAACTCCATAATTTGACGAAACATATATGAAACAATGGTTATAGAAACCGTAAAAAAAAGAATAAATAAATAAATCATTTCTAAGCACCAAAAGAAATTATTCCATTTTCAGGAAGTAACTGCTCCATTGGTACTTATCCGTAAGTAAATTCTCTATTATTTATTTGTTACTATTTTTTCACAATGTCCTCTTGTTTTGTGTTCCAATAAATAACTAATTAAGTACATAAATTAATTAATAAAAAAAGTAATCGTTGAGTTTACTTGCTCTAGGCTTGTGAAAAAGACTTGTTTTTTACTCTGTTGCTTTGAAAGTTCCGTATTCTGAATAAACATTACGCTCATTCGTAATTTAGATACTGTGTGTCATTTGCTATTAAGCATTTCACATTTACTTCCACATCACTTATTCACCAGCGTCAAAACAAAATAATTTAATTTGGAATAAAATAAAAAAATTCTGAAGGTCACTTTCTTATTTTATTTACATACATAAAGAAACAAAATAACTGTCGTATCTCAGATGAAGGAAGAAAAAAAATTGAGATAAATTTTTTTTTAAATCTATTTTTGAACTGTTAAATTGCACACTTTTCAATCCCAGAATCGTAACAGAAACTGACAGATTTACTTGCTGACTGTTTCTTTACTGAGCTACAGCTGTCACTTGTTACCTCAGAACTTTTTATTTCATGTTTTATTCATTTGGATGAACGCCCAATGAGTAAAAACCACTTTCTGCCTATTGCCCAATTATCATACTTCGTTCAGCGTTCTTTTTTTTTCTTTCACCTTTTGGCGAAAACAATGAAATCTCAGAATGCCAATCCTGAGGTTATAATGATTTGTATATACCGCCAATCGTTCTCAATGACTTCTTTTCTGACTGTTTTCGACAACCTCTCACGTTTGTTAAGTAGTTTTAGAGTTTAATTCTAGAACGTTTGTCGAACATTCGTCTGATTTTTTTTCTGGAACGTTTATGGATAATTTGATTACTAATATGGACTACTAGTTGAACAGGGTCGATAGCTTAACATGGTTTTTGGAAGCTCTTTCGCCAAGGAAAATAAAAAAGCCACAGTTTAAGTGCCTTATTCTTGAAGCAAAGCTATAATTTCAAACTATAAATGCCATCGGACCGTGAAAGAATTATCTGAGTTTTAGAACGGACAAATAACTAAAATATTTTAAAAGTGTTTAAAGTTTTTTTTAAAAATCGAAATTTTTTTTTCCTAGATGAAAATTATCCAAATCAATGTTTTATTCCCATTTTTCGCAGATTTTGGATTAAGTTTTGCATTGGATTAAGTTTTTAAATATTAAAAAAATGGACTTGTATTATTTTTCTTACAAATGGGCATTTAGTCATTATTAAGTCTTACTACCGTGCACTTCTAAATTGTGTTTGTTGCTTTTACATTTCAATTTTTCTAATTGTTTTAGCTTATTTGCACTGTCAGTTTTTGGTATAACAGAAAGGCTCCTGTGTCTTGTCAGACTGTGTGTCTCCTAATGAAGTACTGTCTTGCTAACAAAACATATCTTAAAATATTCTTCGTATATTCTCCGTATTTCTGACTTTTTAAATTTGCGCCGTATTATGTAATTTAACATTGTTTAGAAAATTTCATAGTTTATAATTAATAAAAATTTTCGATTTCTATTAAATTAAATATAAAAAAATATACGTACAAATATTTACTAAATAGTATCTTTATTCACGAAATGTAAGAAAAACGACGCAGAGTTAAATAAAAAACGTTAACCACATATAAAAATCATAGCAATCATTGACTTTAAATAAAGTTTATTATTCTGTAATTTATAAGGTAAACGAAATCCGACTTGTTTTACATAATTATTGTTATAAATCGGGCATTCTATCAGCGAGCCACGCTCTATTCTTGTTTATCTTGCAGAGTTGTACTTTGTAATCTGGCAACTTCGCTCTTGTATATCTGAGTTTTTAATTATCTATATTTTCTTTTTATTTCTAAGTGCATATTAAATACTAATTTAAAATAGCTGTCATCCTTATTTTGCTAATAATTACAACAATTATTTTAATTAAAATCTTAATTATTGCATAATTAGCATTCATTTGAATATTTTTTCATTTTGATAAGATACTCTCTTAACCGCATTCTTAATAAATTGCTCAGATTTGTTCGAAATTTCCCCGCAGAATCAAGCCTATCATTAAAACAGCAGAAATATTCTATGATTCTCTTATACTTGTGCGAAATAACATCTTTAATGATTCAGAGGTGTTCTTTTAATTCCAGTTTTCAAATAATTATACTCTCAAAATGATTCGATTCTCTCAAATAACTCTATAGAATTGTAAAGAATCAATTAGTTTAATGAAGGGTTGTATGAAGAAAGATTTTCGGTTCTTTTTTCGAACGTAGTGAAAAAGTTATTACACAACTGGAGAACGCTTGATTAAAAATTATTTACCTTATTGAAAAACTGGTTTTCAAATTATGTTATTAATAACTTTCTTTTAATGTATACTTTTATTTTATATTCGCCTGTGACCCAGAATTGGTGGATATTGAGAAAGAATTTGGTTTTAAATGTGCTGTTCAATTTATATTTCAATTTATTTCTTACTACTAATGATAGTGTCTCAATTTTCCATTATTGTCAATACATTGTCATTGGCTGAAAAGTCACATGGTCGGATCCAGTTTTCCCACATTAATTTTCATATTGTTTCGGTTGTCATCAGCATAAAATTGATATAAGTCATAAAGTTATCGTTATCCTATAAATATTTTTGTTTTCTTAATTTAAAAGTTAAAATTACCCGTACTGCTATTATAACGTTTTTGATTTTGATTAATTTCTAAATCAAAAGTTTCGGAGGATTGTTTTTATTATTATTATTGTTAGAATTGTGTAACTATACGTTACATTTTAAGATAAATTTATTAAAATCGGTGTCTGATATTATTTAACGTTTCATAATTATTATCTTTTGGCGCTAATTATATAAATATATTATTATGAATTGAATATTATATTAATATATTATTATGAATTGGGAGTGGTACTGCTCCTACCTGATGATCCGTTTCGAGAGGTGCTGGAAAAATCGCATCTAATTTTATGGCAGAATTGATAGCCATTTCTACGGCTATCGAAACGTACATCAATCTTGAACCTTCGGAGCAGCTTAGTGGTATCACCATCTTCAGCGACTGCAGGTCTGTATTACAGGCCCTCAGCAAAGGTACCTCAAGCCTTGTCCTGAATATCATAGAACAACTTGGACAACTTCAGCGTCTCCGGAAAAATTGCTTCTTGCAGTGGATTCCCGCCCATGTGAACCTAGAGTTCAATGAAATAGCTGATTCCTTGGCTAAAAATGCCAGAGATCTAAATCAAAATTCAATCCCAACCACGTTGGCAGATGCAAATGCTTTTGCAAAGTCAAGACTACTCACCCCTTTAAAAATCAAAGCCCACGATCAAATAACTAATCTTGACATCGATAGGAAGACAGCCACTACTCTCATCAGACTAAGAACAAAACATCATAAAAACATGAAAATTTCTGCAGATGGGACTAGAAAATATCAAAACTGTGGCAACTGTCTTAATGTGGAACTGACACCCTATCATGTTTTTAACTGCCCTGCAGTCGCTGCAGGCCTTCACCTTTTTAAACTACCCCACAGAAGAGGATTTGTATTCTTTTAATGCCATAGAAATAACAAAAACTATTCAAGCACACCA